AATCACACACAGAAGGGAAAATAGCACAGTCAGTAAAAAAAGGGGACAAAACATTTTTAGATACATAAATGAGAAAATGAAAGTAAAACAAAGATTAGTTAGATTAAAAATAAAAGAAGGAAGGTATGTAGAAGAGGATAAAGGTCTAGCTGACTCAATGAATATTTTTGTTCAGTATTTACAGATGAAAATAAAGGAAAGGGGCCTCAGTTAGGAAAAAGGACAAATGAGTAATTTGTTACATGTAAGTTTACAGAGGAAGAGGTTCTATTTCAACTGTCAAAAGTAAAGCCAAATAAGTCAATGGGACCTGATGAAATACACCCAACGTTATTAAAAGAGCTTAGTGGTGTACTAGCAAAACCATTAACAGATTTATTTAACCAATCATTGTTAACAGGAGTAGTCCCAGAAGATTGGAAGTTAGTGAATGTTGTGCCCATTCACAAAAAAGGTAATAGGGAGGAGTCGGGCAACTATAGGCCAGTAAGCCTTACTTCTGTAGTGGGGAAAGTAATGGAAACCATGTTAAAGGATAGGATTGTTGAACATCTAAAAACACGTGGATTTCAAGATCTGAGACAACATGGGTTTACTTCAGGGAGATCATGCCAAACTAATCTTATTGATTTTTTTGATTGGGTAACTAAAATAATAGATCAGGGTGGTGCAGTAGACATTGCTTACCTAGATTTCAGCAAGGCTTTTGACACTGTTGCACATAGAAGGCTTATCAATAAACTGCAATCTTTAAGTTTGGATTCCAATATTGTTGAATGGGTAAGGTAAACTATTGTTTGAATAGTTTCCATTTATCCTCAGTGTTTTTTTTCACTAAGGAGTTTATGCCAGTCGATATGTTGTAGAGCTGCCCTAATTTTATTGAAATTGGCTTTTTAAAAATTATGCGTTTTAGTATACCCTACATGCTTTTGCTTTTTTTTAGTTTATAAAAAAAAATTACCATATTGTGATCACTATTTCCCAAATGCTCCCCTGCTTGAATGTTGGTCAAAAGATCAACATTGTTTGTCATAACGAGATCCAGACAAGCATCCTTTCTAGTTGTTGCTTGTACCAGTTGTAACATGAAGGTGTCATTTAACACATTCAAAAACCTGATTCCCGTTGCTGAAGTACTAGTCACTCTATCCCAATTTATGTCAGGGTAATTAAAATCTCCAATAATTAACGTGTTACCCCGATTTGCAGCTTTCCCAATTTGCTCTAACAGCTGTTCTTCCTCATTAATATTTACATTAGGCGGTTTATAACATATCCCAACCAATAACTGATTTCCCTTCGTTTGCCCCAAGCAGATATTTACCCATAAAGCTTCCACATTTTCCTCGTCACACTCCACATGCCTAAGATTTGACTTTAACGCATGGTTGACATACAAACATACCCCACCACCCTTCTTGTTTTTCCTATCCTTCCTAAATAACGTGTACCCATTTAAGTTAACTGCCCAGTCATGTGTCTCATCCCACCATGTTTCTGTTCTACCTATTATATCATATTGTTTAGTGTATGCTATTGCATCTAGTTCCCTCATTTTGTCATATAGGCTCCTTGCATTAGTAAACATACATTTAATATTATCATTAGTCATTTGTACATTTTGTGAATTTTTATCAATATTGCATACTGTAACAGATGCCATGTTCGTTGGATTTATAATTTTGTTGCTATTCTTAACTTTTTGTTACAACACTATTCACCTAAACCGGTATACGAATTGAAACGAACAAACTTTACGCAATTAGTACGTATACCAATCGTTTTACCGAACGTTTCGACCAACCAAGATAGTCATGTGCTGTCAATTGATTTATGTGACACTATGCCAAACCACAACCCCAATGTTCTAAGTGGTTCACTGAGTGTCCAACGGTTCGTATGTATGAACATGTGGCGGCGGCCATCTTGTTTTGTCGACTGTGTCCAGCGGGGTTTGGTTGTCGATTGTCCGGAACTATTTTCGGACACTCAATGGCCCAAACACCACTGAGACTTCCAGGACCATTTAGATTCGTCTTAATTAATCCAAAGGAGCCAGCATTCGATAGAAACAACGTACGAATGAAGCGGCACACGACCATCACACGCAGAAACGATTATGTGAACTATTGTTCAACATTTTACTCTGCATGAAAGAGACCGGCCGCACAAGCTGAATTCATGGAACTATTCTGGGCAAGAGCCTGGTGTGCGGCCGGGCAGAAATGGGACTTCCATCTAACTTTCGAACCTCTAGATCAATTTGGATGATTTTTAAATATGTTGTTTCCCTAGATCGGGGCTATCAGAAAATGTATGTTTTATGGGGTTCAGAGATGATTTTAGGGTATTTTTTGAAATGTATAAAAATTGTCATTTGTTCGTTTGGAGATAATTGAGTTGATACAGTAATTAACTCAATTATCTCCAAGCAGAGGGGAGAGATTGTGTATAATGTATGGGAGTGTCTCATTATATGACTCTATGTTTATTGGTTATTCACTGTGTCCAACAAGGTCCACCTGGGTGGCAACCTTGTTGGAAAACTTGCATAAAAGGCCAGTGTGGCCCTATTAAAAATCAGTTCTGCTTAACCCTCAACACGTAGCCTTGTCTCGTACTTGTAGGGAACCTGTTTCACAACTAATCACTAGCTCTTGCAAGATCTCTACTACCCATTCGACTACCTGATAGGCTCAGAAGACATCTGGAGAATACTGCAGCACAGCTCCTCCCAAGGGAAAAGGGACGTCTCTAACGGCATACACCCCTCTGATACTCTGGGTGGCTGTTACACATACCTTCTCTGTTCTAAACTTTCCCCTTCCCCCATCTCTACCCCCCTTATACTGAGCTAAAGCCGATCTCCTTTCCATCCTATCTCCATTTTCTAGATTGCTTTGAACCTCCCCCCTCCTACTAGTTCAAAATCTCCTCCAACCTTCTAGCCATCCTATCCCCAGCACAGCAGACCCTCTTCTATTTAGGTACAATCCATCACGGCTTTACAAGTTGTACCCAAGTGCAAAATCAGCCCAGTGCTCTAAAAACCCCAAACCCTCTTTCCTGCACCAAGGCTTCAGCCACAAATTAATCTAATCTCCTGCTGCCTTTCTGCTGTAGCGCGTGGCACAGGTAATATTTCTGAAAATATTACCTTGGAGGTTCTTTTTTTTAGCTTACTTTCTAGTTCCATGAACTGATTCGTTCGGACCTTCCATTTTCCTCTGACTTTGTCATTGGTACCAATATTGACCATGACAGCTGGGTCATCCCCAGCCCCTCCCAATAATGTCACATATCCCAGGAGACTTCGGCACATAAAGAAATTGGCCATGGCTGTTCCTCACTGCTTTCATTGCTTGAACCACCCCATCGTGGCTGCACACTTTTTCCCCCCAGTCATATAGCCAGCATCAAAATGCAACTGGCAGATAAATTGGTAACTTGGGCATGTCTACAAAGAGTGACCGTCGAGAGATGAGTTATCTGTGCTCCCGCTGGTCACCCGGACATATTTGCACCACTCAAGTCAGAGCATCTTAGCTGCCTGTGCCACCCTATGGTAGCGCGGGCCCTGGCTGTATTTTCTAAACGGTAATGTTTTACATTGCGGTTCTAAAATGTCACAGCACTGCTCCTAGGCCACTTTATTTTTTTCCTTCTTTGTAAGATTAGCAAAATCTATGTTTTAAGCTAGAACACTGGACATTTTGAAATTGTGGGTATTTTAATTGGAACAAGCGTATGTAATGATAGTTTTGCAGTTGAACTAGGAAGATAACTATTCTGAAGTGTTTTATATTGGCTTAGTCGTGATTGATTAGAGAAGCATTGGGGATGAGAAATATATATGTGCCACTATAAAATGCTTGTCATGCAGGCATGCTGTGATCAGCAATTGATTTCAAATGTCACTCTGAGAGGCAAAGTTCTTCTACCAGTTATCCAAGTGAGAGCCACTAAAGGTGTGTTTAACTATGCCAATACTAGACCATATCTACTATGTGACAGTGTTTTAGAATGCACCGCTAAAATACCCACTGCACCCAAAACACTCCCTTAAGATGCAGCAGTCTGGGTACATTTAGTGTACCTTTAACCCCTTAAGGACACATGGCATGTGTGACATGTCATGATTCCCTTTTATTCCAGAAGTTTGGTCCTTAAGTGGTTAAACACATCAAGATCACAGTCTCGCAATGATGTCCCCAGAGCCGGTGCAAGGATTTGCTTCACCCACTCATGCAGACTGACACACACATACTAACCCATGCAGACCGATTCTCTCTCACACACACACACTATGACGAATGCAGACTGATGCACATACACTCACACTGATGAATGTAGACTGACATGTGAAGGTGCACTGACTCATGCAGACACATACACTGACACACACTGTCTCGCTTACCTACTGACCCATGCAGACTGACACACACACTGATGAATGCAGACTGACGAGCGCACACTGACAAAGGCAGACATATACTGGCCCATGCAGACACATACAGTGACCATGGCGTGCGCACGGGGTGTGCCAGGTGTGCCTAGGCACACCCTAATCCCCGCGGCACGCCTATGGAGTGAGACCGGCAGGTGAGATCTCAGGATCTCCCCTGTCGGTCCATGCAGAGCCAGCTCTGCTCTCAGCCTCACGCCCCACTGCAGCATGGAGGGAGGCAGGAAAGGACCCGGGGAGCTCAACCAGCAGCTCCGCCGGGTTCCTCTCGCGAGTGCTGAGCGTTGCCATGGTAACGCTCAAATCTCACGAGAGTGAACTCTAGCCCCACAGGCTAGAATTCACTCTCCACTGGACCACCAGGGAAAGCAGCAGGAACAAGAATCCCCCCTCCCTACATAAGGTAAGAAGGGAGGGGGGAATATTAAGTAATGTACCCCCACCTCCACCCCCCACAATCACCCACACACAGCACCCACACAAACACACTAACAGGACCCTAACACACACAACACCCTCAAACACAGCAGTATGTGTGTGTGTGTGTGTGTGTATATATATATATATATATATATATATATATACACACACACACACACACCTGGCGTGTGTTTGTGCTTTAGGGTGCACACCCTAATGCAATAGGCTGCGCACGCCTATGACAGTGACTCAGACACACAAACCCATGCAGACTGACATACACAAATTCTTTGAAACACATTGTAATGTCCCATTGACCCACTTACCTTTGTTACATAAATGGCTTTGCATGTCTAACTGGCAGCTTCCCTGTGCATGGCTGCCTTCTCTCCATCTCAGCCCTGCTTTGCTCCCCTCCCACATGACTCCACACAGGACAAGAGCGAGAAATCGAAGCATCCTTGCTCTGCTGCGGCAATGGGAATCTTTGTGGGAGGCCTGGCTTAGGAGGATGCCGCTGGACCAGTTTTATACCGGGCGCTAGTCAGCCGCCATGTAAGTGCTCCCTTGCACCCGATAACATGATTAGCATAACTACTCCAACATAAAGGGGCAGATAAACAAGAGCAGTAAGGCTTCCCCCTTTAATCAGCGCCCTAGGCAGCTGCCTAATTGGCCTATATTAAGCACTGGCACTGTATGTCCCTTGGTGCTGGGTCAAGTTCCGCTTTCTCCAACAGATAAGGGGACCTAATGCCAGGGGCGTACCTAGAGCATTTGGCACCCGGGGCGGATCCTGTGCTTGGCACCCCCCCCCCCACCCCCCTCCCCAAAAAACAAACAAAAAAAAAACCTGTAAAAAATGTTAAAGGTTTTATTTCTTTTATTTTTACAATTTGTAAACTTTGCAAAACCGTTGTCAGCCCCTCCTACAAAACCCTTGTCCTGCCCTGCCCCTCCTACAAAACCTCTGTCCTGCCCCTTCTACAAATCCTGTACTGCCCCATCTACAAAACCCCCGCAACCCCCTTCCACAAATCCCCTGCTTATCCCCCCTTATAAAGACTCCTGTCCCAATACAAAACCCCCACCCCCTTCTACAAAATCCCTGCAGCCCCACACACACATTTACAGGCAGACAGTCACACACTCAGTTACAGACACAGTCACACACTCAGTTACAGACAGACAGTCACACACTCAGTTACAGGCAGACAGTCACACACAGTCACAGGCAGACAGTCACACATACACATTTCCTCCGTGCGGCCAGTTTATCAGCTGTTTGCTTGAGTGAGCTGTACTGGCCGCACGGCACCCTAACTACCATGGGACACTGTGCGGCCACAGCTCACACAGCCCCCTCCAGCCAGGGCCGGTACAAGGATTTTTGCCGCCCAAGGCAAAAGTAAAGTTTGCCGCCCCCCATGTGACATCACAATGCCCCAGCCATATGATTTGCCATGTTAACTAACGCCAGTGCTGCAGTGCCGCCGTGTTTACATTAAAAGGCCTGCAGGGACAGGCTATAGACACCAGAACCACTACATTAAGCTGAAGTGGTTCTGGGGACTATAGTGTTTCTTTAATGTGAGGTAAATTAGAGCTTAGTGCCACGAATAATATACTAGATTGCCTACTTACAACCAGATGAGGATGATGATGGGCTCTAGCTGCAGTCTGGCTCCACTGGTCTGGTGCAGAACAGGCTCTCTGGAGGCGGTTTGTAACTGTGGTCACAAAAATCAATGTTCTGGGAGAACGGGAAGCAGCTCCATTTTTTGGGGGTCCTTTACACAGCTCAAGGTCTGGGTCCCAGGGTCCACCTTCATGTTCCACCAATGAGTTTGTTCACAGGGGGTGGAGTGTGTAGGGGATGTCCTGATATGTGTGTAAGGAATGCATTGTGTGAAATTGTGTTTGTATGTGTAAGGACTGCAAGGTGTGTTTCTGTGTATGTATGGGATGCATTGAATGTGTGTAAGGGGTGCATTGAGTGTGTGTAATGAATGGATTGTGTGTTTCTGTGTGTGTAAGGGATGCATTATGTGTAACGGTTGCATTGCTTGTGTATGTGTGTCTGTGTGTTTTTCTGTGTGCAAGGGGTGCATTGTGTGTATGTGATGAATGTCAATCTCTCCTCCCGCTCCAATTTCCTTCTCCTCCTCCCAATTTCTCTTTCTCACCCCCCTCCTAATTTCTCTCTTACCCCCGCTCCTATTTTCTCTCACCCCCCTCCTTTCTCTCTCACCCACCTTCTTTTTCTCTCTCTCCCCCCCTTATTTCTCTCTCTCTCACCCCCCCTTATCTCTCTTTCTCACCCCCCCTTATTTCTCTTTCTCACCCCCCCTTATTTCTCTCTTTATATCTCTCTTTCTCCACCCCTATATTTCTCTTTCCTACTTTATGTTTCTCTTTCTCACCCCCCTTATTTCTCTTTCTCACCCCTTATTTTCTCTTTCTCACCCCCCTTTTTCTCTTTCTCACCCCCTTATTTCTCTCTCAACCCCCCCCTTATTTCTCTTTCTCCAAGCCCCATATTTCTCTTTCTCTTTACCATCTCTCTTTCTCACCCCCTCTTATTTCTTTTCTCACCCCTCTCTCACCCCTTATTTCTTTCTCACCCCTCTCTCACCCCCTTATTTCTCTTTCTCACCCTCTCTCACCCCCCCTTATTTCTCTTTCTCACCCCATATTTCTTTCTCACACCCTCTCTCACCCCCTTATTTCTCTTTCTCACCCCCATTTCTCTCTCTCACCCCCCCCTTCTTTCCTGCCCCTCACTTACTTTCTCCCCCCTCCCCTGCAGGTGGCCGGGCCCTGTATGAGAGGTCAGCGGGTGCAGGGAGCTTTTGTTTCTGTACTGGCTGGGACTAACAGGAAGATGCACTCAGTGTGCACTTCCTGTTAGTCGACCCCGAGGTCTGAGGAGACAATACTCTGTGCCGGTCGGTTTTCAATGCACTGGTGAGGGAGCCTTTGTGGGAGAAGCGTTCCCCTCCTGTCAGCCCCTCTCCCTCAGGCTCTTTGGTAGTGCAGTCCTTCCCTCATGGGCCCATACCGCCTGGAGCAAGCTTCACCAACCATGAAACTAACTAGAAGCGAGCTGACTGCAGCATGGGGGGGGGCGGCGGGGCTGGCCATGGCACCCCCCACCCGGCTGGCACCCGGGGCGGACCGCCCCCCCCTTAGTACGCCACTGTGTGTGTGTATTGCTGTGTCAGTCTGTGTATTGGTGTGTCTGTATTTGTATGAGTGTATGTATCTGTAAGTGTATGTATGTGTAAGTGTATACACTACACACAAATGCATACCTGCATTCAAACACATTCACACACATACACCATACAAAAACATGCTTACATTCAAACACACATTGTATATATTTGTATTTACACAATATACACACACACACTGCATCCATTACACATGCACTGCAAATGCAGCAAACACATGCCTATATTAAAACACTAAAATTATATACAAACACCCCTTCATTCAAACACCAAAACTACACACAAAAGCACACCTGTATTTAAAATCCATCACTTTAGACAAATACCCCTGCATTCAGATGCAAACACTACACACAAGTATAACACTACATACAAATACACTTTCTGCCTCTAAAACTGCCATGATATACCAATACGATGCCTCTAAATCTGCCATGATATGCTAGGTTTATGTATCTAAAACTGGTTGCCATAATGTGCCAAATTTATGCATCTAAAATGGATTGCCATGATGTGCCAATGTCATGCCTTTAAAACCGATTGCCATGGTGTGACAATTGTATCCATCTAAAGCGATTTGCCATGGTGTGCCATTTTTTTTTGCCTCTAAAACTATTTGCCATGGTGTGACAATTGTATTTAAAGCTTATTACCATGTTGTGCCAATTTTATGCTGCTAAAACAGATTGGCACGGTGTGCCAATTGATGGCTCTAAAGCTGATTGCCATGGTGTGCCAATTCTATGCATCTAAAATGGATTGTCATGATGTGCCTGGTTTATGCCTCTAAAACTGATTGTCATGGTGTACTAATTTTATGTAACCAGAGCTGCCATATGCCAATTTTGTGCATCTAAAGCTGATTGCCACAGTATGTCAATTTTATGCATCTAAAGCTGCCATGATGTGGCAATTGTATGCATCTAAAAATCATTGCAATGGTGTGCCAGTGTTATGCCTCTAAAGGTGATTGCACTGTTGTGCCAACTGTATGCTTCTAAAGCCGATTACTATGGTGTCCCAATGAGCTGGGCCCTAAAATGGATTTCCTTGGTGTGCCAATTGTATGCCTCTAAAACTGGCTGCTATGGTGTGCCACTTGTATGTATCTAAAGCGGATTGCCATGGTGTGCCAATTCTATGCATCTAAAGCTGCCATAATACACCAATTGTATGCAACTAAAGCTGATTGCCATGATGTGCCAATTGTATGCATCTAAAGCGGATTGCTGTCGTGTGCCATTTTTATGCAGCTAAAGCTGCCATGATGTGGCAATTTTATGCCTCTAAAGTTGATTGTCATGGTGTGCCAATATTATTATGATATTTATATAGCACCATCAAAATCCGCAGCGCTTTACAATGGGTGGACGAACAGACATGTAGTTGTAGCCAGACAAGTTGGACACACAGGAACAGAGGGGTTGAGGGCACTGCTCAATGAGCTTACATGCTAGAGGGAGTGGGGTAAAATGACACAAAAAGGTAAGGATAGTATTAGACTAGTGACAGTTGCAGAAGAGGAATCAGTCAGGAGCTATTAACAGTTTAATTGATACCTTTTATGAACAAGTGGGTTTTTAACGATTTTTTTGAAGGAGTGGAGACTGGGTGAGCATCTAACGGAGGAGGGAAGTGAGTTCCACAGGAACGGTGCAGCCCTCGAGAAATCTTGAAGGCGAGCATCAGAGGTGGGAGTACGGACAGAAGATAGACGTAAGTATTCAGCAGATCGTAAGGGCCTAGATGGGACATACTTGTGTATAAGGGAGGATAGATAGGTGGAAGCAGCATTATGTAGCGATTTGAAAGCAAGAACCAGAATTTTAATTTGAGCTCTATATTTTATAGGAAGCCAATGTAGGGACCAACAGAAGGGTGAGGCATGGGAGGTGTGGGCGGACAGGAAGATGAGCCTCGCTGCCGCATTCATTATGGACTGTAACGGTGCAAGTTGGGAGCACGTAAGACCACTGAGAAGCGGATTACAGTAGTCAAGGACATTGGAATGGACCAACACCTTAGTCGCATCTGGCGTTAAGTAGGGGTGGATGCGCGCAATGTTTTTGAGATGGAAATGACAGGATTTGGCAATAGATTGAACATGAGGCCTGAAGGAGAGGTCGGAGTCAAAGAGAACACCTAGGCAGCGAGCCTGTGTGGTGGAGCGGATGGTAGCACCGTTGACACAGGAGTAACAACACTTGAGGGATGAAAGACCAGAATTTCAGTTTTGGTCAAGTTTAGTTTAATGAACTGGGCAGCCATC